TTTTTTTTCTTCTACCCTGAAGATGGAGGCGATACGTTCCTCCGAAACGTCGGTTAACACCACATATACACGGTGCCAAATCCCAGAAGACTGCTTTCTTCAATAATGGCAATGTCCTAATTTTTTCAGAACCACCACCCAATCCCCACCGCCTTTACACGTCGTAAAGACAAGGAAATAGCCTACATGGGTGTAAAGCATGGTTCATTTCTCATATTCGAGTGCTCAACATCACAGATAACTGAAAAGCCGGCCGCCAGGGACCACCGATGAATCAGTCACCTTGACAGCAGGTGTCTCAGGTGTCCGATTAGGCATAAATAAGAGTATAATAAGCTGAGAGTCATGGTCCGATAACCCATTTATACATGATTTTATGGTATAACTTCTTCTCTTGTCAATAAATATACTGTTAATCAAGGTAGCTGAATTATTACCGATTCTTGTGGGAAACTAAACCGTACCCATTAAATAAGTATTTAACATGTCATCTAATTTAGTTTTTTTACTACTTGATCCCAGATAATTTATATTTATATCCCCACATATTATAAATTCCAAATTATATTTATGAAAGAAATTAAGTATATAATCAAGTTTATTAATAAAGTAATCAAAATTACCCAATGGAGCTCTATATATATATTAAATATAATTATATTAACCTCGTTTATTTTTATTTGAATGGCGTCAATTTCCAGAGCTTGTTCCTTACAATATTTATGTAAATTTATAGTAGAAAATTTTAATACTTCATGAACTAACCTCTAATATTGTCACATGATTAACATGTTTAGTAATCTTTCTCAATTTCCGGTTAAAAGTCTGGATTTCCTTATTTACAATGGAATTATTTTCAAGATCATATCTATATAGTACGTCTAACGACTATTATATTTGTATTACTTACTACCTCATAAAACTTCACAATCTGCATTAGTGCAGCACTAGAATTATTCCTATACTACATCATTGGATCCTCCATGAAACACAATTACATCTTTTTTTTTTGTTAAATATGTGTAATTCATACTGGTCTTAGTTATCATATCAACACTTGCACCTGCCTTAATCAAACCATACATTTTAAATTTCTTCCTAAATATTCACCTATCCTTATAGCACTTCCTCGCAAGTGACTATCACCTACTACCATTATATTTAGATTATTTACATCATGCATTTCATTCTTCAATATATTATGATTTACATTATTTATTTTGTTTGGTCTAGTGCACACAAACCCCTATATGTCCCTAGGTTTTTACAATTGTTTGTTATTGTTTCGCCATTCAGTATCACTGGAATATGATTAATTACTGCGTTTATATATATACAACGCTTCCAACAAATGCTGGAAAGGCTAAACTTATGGGGCATCTACATTTCAGATCCTCGCCAGGTTTGAAGCTTACTAACAATATATCATACATGTGTAGACATGCTTATGCTTATGATCTACAGTGTAATCTGTTATGTCTGCTGCATTTTTATGAGTGCAGCAAAATCGGATTTATGGATGACCAACTCTCTTTACCTTGGCCACCCATCTATCCTATACCCTGGCTATCCTCCTTGCTTTTCAAGCAAAGGTTCTGTGCATAACACTTTTACGCTCGGCACACACAAATATAATTTCATTTTTGTACCAGTCTGGGTGAATAAAAACTTCTCTAATGAATGCTGTGTCTTTCTGATATGCCATTGGGAGTACACAATTTCCAATCTTGTTGAGTATAATAAATTCAGACTCAAATGCAGTAACACCTAGTGACAAAATATTCTGTTTTTGAACAATGGGAACGCAACAATATAACTGCATTTTTGTATATTTTACCATGGAGATCTGCACCTGAACCACTTTAGTTTATGTACTACTTCTGCTTGTAACATATTTAGACAGTGCTTATTTATACATAAGTTATCTTTGTATGCAGACTTGCTGAAATAGTGCAATGACAGGTTTATGAGAAAACAAACCAGTCCTATAACAGCATGGAGTTTCCTGACTAGCTGATTAGATATCATGAAGTCATTTTGATGAAACAGTATTAACTTTTTCTCACAAAAATTAATTCAAATAAAGGCAGAACAAGATGAGTTCCCACTCACCATGTATACAAAGAATATTTAATGAATAGAATAATGTTTATTTAGGTAGGTGTCAAGGCAGCTTTAAAATAGGGCTAATCTGTCACACTGGGACTGGCAACTCAACCGCATTCACAGAGCAAGTTCATCAAGTGGTAACACTTCTCACATTCTGGAGGTACCCAGTTTGAATCTCAGCTGGGACACCAACTATCATGGTCAAGGCTCTTTTCTGATTTCTTCATCCTTTCAGGTGAATGAAAGGACAGTACCTCAAATCAGGCAACAGCCACCTCTTTCCATATTCTTTCCAATTTATTATCGTCATTCTACCACTGGACCCTATGTAGTATGAGTCACGGACAGTGTTAAAAT